GCCCCCTGCCCCCCAGCCAGCTCCCCCAGTTTCCATACTGGGCAGGAGGCCCCATGGGCTGGAATAGCCCTGTGGGCAGGCGGGGTCGGCTGTCCTGGCCGTGCCCCCTCCCAGCTCCTTGTGCCCCTGGCAGAGCAGGGGAAGCTGAAAAGTCCTTGCCTGGTGTAAGCCCTGCTCAGCACCAACTGAGCCACCCGGGTGTTACCAACGTTCTTCCCATCCGAAACCCAAACCCCAGCGCTGGGCCCGCTGCCAGGGAGAAAATTAACTCCATCCCCGCCAAAAGCTGGGCACAGCAAAACACTGGGACAGCGTCACCTGCCCAAAAGTGATTCTGGGGCAGGGGCTTCTGCACAGAGGAGGAGCATGGGATACGCCTGGAAGGAGGAATATTGAGCTGGCTCTCGGAATCAAGGGCCAGTTTTGCAATAGGCTGTGTACCCACAATTCAAAAATATTTTACATTTTTATCATTTTAAAATAGCTACGAAGAGGACAGGCAACTAAACCACATGCCAGAAGTTTTCGGGTCTGGATTCTCAGAAGAGAACAACCTGAGTTACACCTCTGCGGTGCCCTCGCTTACCCCGGGGGGTCCCTAGGTGTCCGGTCGGTGCCTAGACGTCGCGTGGTGATACTGAAAATTAAAGTGGGCTTTTACAAACAGTTCTTTACCTTGCCCCACATGTCTCCTGTAAAACAAGGCACATAAAGGAAAGGAAATCTAATTTCGAAGTGCCTGTCTTTCCAAAGCACTTAAGTCCCGGGCGTTTCGGGGACCGCTGTGTGTAACTGCGTTTATTACCAGAACGTGAGTGGCACGAGGCCTCGGCCTGTGCTGCGCCTGTGCGTGACTGCTGGCGGTGTGTGCTGCGGCTCACCCGGCCAAAGCCGGGCAGAGCTCCTGCCAGAAACCTCGAAGGCCGCGCTCCCTTTGCAGAACAGCGACGTCTCTCCGGCAGCTCCCGCAGCCAGGGGAGCGGCGTCTCCCGAATGCCCTTTTTGCTCACTGCTGAACTCTACTAACTCATCATGACTGTGCTTACTGCATTCCTGTTCTCTGCTGGAACAAATCTTTCCCTGGCCCCTGTGTGCTCGGGAGGGAGGTGGGAGGCTCCTCAGGGCTCCCTTCGAGGTGTGAAATCCTCCCGCCTGCAGATGGAAACTTAACAAGGGGGCTTGGAAGCGGAGCAGGTCACGGCCGATGCCGATCCGAACGAGCAGGGGAGGAGGTTCCTCACTGTATAGTTCTAGTCCCATCTTTTTAGATGTGGCCAGGCTGGAGGGGGCCCAGAGCAGGGCCACCAAGGTGACCCGAGGGCTGGGAAGCCTCTCAGCCCTATGGGGATGGGCTGGGAGAGCTGGGTTTGTTCAGCCCGGAGCAAAGGAGGCTCAGGGGGCATCTCATCCCCACGTCCCAGTGCCTAAGGGGGGGGCTACAGGGAAGATGGAGACTCCCTTGTCAGAAGCAGTCCCATGGAGAGGACGAGGGGGAATGGACACAAGTTGCTCTGGGGGAGATTCCCATTGGACTTGAGAGGGAAACCTTTCCCCATGAGAACAGTCACCCCTTGGAATGATCTCCCAGGGGAGGGGTTGACTCCACTGTCAAGCCTCAGCTGGACGGGGTGCTGGGCCATCTTGTCTAGGCTGGGCTCTGGCCCAGAGAGGTTGGACCAGGTGATCCTGGAGGTCCCTTCCAACCCGGGATTCCATGATTCCATGAATCCTGACACCAGGACCCATGAAAGGCCTTCCCTGCTCCTGGCTGCAGTAGGAACAGCACCGAGCTACCCACTGCACCAGAGCTGCCGGAGAGGTCTCGCTTTTTCAAGCAGAGCCTGGCGTCCAAGAGTAGACGTTTGGATGGGCTGTTCTGCACCTCTCCTGCGCCCCGGGCCCCATGCAGGGTGAGGGCTTGCGTGTTGCCGTCCCACGGGGGCAGCCCACCCAACCTGCACCCCCGCTGCTCTGAGCGCCGCAGTAACTACCAGGGGCACAGTCGAGCCTCTAAATGAGTCCACGCAAGGTCTCTTAAACAGGAACGCCTTAAAATCTCCTGGAAAGAGCAGCGGCTGTGCTGCTTCGTAGAGCTGGGTTCCCTGGTGTCACGTTTGGCGCACGCCACAGATGTTTTTGTGCTGCTTTGCTCTATTATAGTCCTCAAAAAGTTACCAAAATCGGTACGGAATTAGCCTTGCCCCGCTGGCTTTAGCAGGAAAACGGCGCGCATCCCCCGGCCAGCGCACCGGCCAGACGCGGGCTGAGATGGAACCGACCCGTAGTGATCCTGCGGATCCCGTTCGTATCGACCGGCGTTTAACTCGGCAGTGGTTCCCATTTAAATAATCAGATTATACAGACGTGCTCGCTCGCGTGTGGGGACAGTACCTCTTACAGACAGGCCGGTTCTCAAACGTAGTGCTTGTTGCTGGGCTGGCTCAGTGCAAGCAGTGGGCAGCTCCGTGCCCTGCGCGCCTCCCGCGAGCCTTGGAGAGCCCTGCTCCCGTGGGAGAGGGAATTACGCTGCCCTTGTGGACTCGGTTTTCTTCTTTAATTTCAGCCTCTCCGAACTGCTCTGGAGGAGGCGTCCGAGAAGGCAAAGCAAGCGTGCTCCCGGCGCCTGGGGTTTGCTGCTCCCCACTGACAGGTCGCATGCAGCTGAGGGAGAGGAAGGAGCTGTTTTCCCCAATTTTCCATACTGCCTGTGGGAATCTAATTCAATTTCCTCCCAAATTAAGTAGCAAAAACTAAACAGTAAAGAATAAAGTTGCAGAGGCTTCTGTAACTCTCTGGCTGCTGAGGGACTAAGGTGCAGCCATCACCGAGCGCAGGTTAAACGGCTTTTCTAGCCACAAAGCTACTTACAGATTTAAGAAGCTTAAAAACCTGATCCAACGTTAGCCCTTGCTTTGCAAATGAAAGAATAATGTATCTACCTATATAAAGTTATATTTGTTATTACTGCATTTTTTTATCCTTTATTATTGATGTGGCCCCGTTCCACAAAGGAATCTTTTTTTTTTTCCAGTGGGAGATTATGCTGCATTACATAAATTCAGGGAAGGGTGCAGGGTGATCACGTGCATTTCCAGAAAGAAACAAAGGAAAGAACAGACTCACATTCCTTTACCCCCACCACATCTTCCCAGCAGACCGCCGGGCTCTTACTCGTAACTTCCAGAAAAAGATGCAGTGCCTTTTCTGGGCTTGGATTCCATTCAGCAGCGCGGACCTGAGATATTCATATGGCTCAAAAAATACTGAATAAATCCCAGAATTTACTTTTCTGCTTCCCGAGAGCTGCAGCCAGCAGCCCGTGCCGTCTTCTGGTTGCCAGCTCTCCTTAGCTGGTCTGGCCCTTGCAGCTCAGCCCTTCTCCGGAGGGGCAGTCCCTGCAGCGAGCTCCGCTAGCCCGGATTGCAGTCGTTATCCTGCTACCTCTTGTATGTGCATCTTCCCACGGTCTCTTCCAGCCTCACAGAAATAAATTGGCCAGCAATCACTTTATTTCTTCACAGCAGTGTCCTTCACACTTGTTCTCATCCCCACGATGTGCGCGTTAGTCGCGGGGCTGTGTCGGCACCTCTGCGGCTCTGGGGAGCAGGGCACGGCACACGGGAGCAGCGGCGTTACCATGGGGCATGCTTGACTAAGACTTAATCCAAACTTAAACCCACATGTAAATAATATCCCACTTTTTTTTTTTTTATTTTTGTCTTTTAAAAACAGGTGTAAGTGCAACCTTCACGCGACTGGCTGTAAGGAAGAGAACAAAAGGCTGCTTTGTGAGTGTGAGCATAACACAACGGGCCCGGACTGTGGGAAATGCAAGAAGAATTACCAGGGCCGGCCGTGGAGCCCTGGTTCTTACCTGCCTATACCCAAGGGCACTGCTAATATCTGTAAGTAGTTCTCTATAATGTTTCATTATTAGAATTCTTCCCATATCGTGACTCTGGAGGAAGATTAACGCTGGCAAAAGTTTGTCATTCCTTCCTCACCCAGTGCAGATAATTTGACAAGGTGTCAGATGTAAGCGCTGACTGCACGTATGCATGATCCGTGCTCTTGGTGGCTGCGAACAGCATGTGTCTGTATCCACAGACAAATCCCTGGACACTGCAGAGAAGGGGCGAGGGAATGACAAAGCTAGGACCCGGCACACAAAAGGCACACCCAGAGGAGAGAGGCGGGCGGGAATATCCGCAGTGCTGCTGCGGCCGTGGCAGCCTCAGCCTCCGCTCATCCATCCTTGTTGCCTCGAGATGCAGAACAACCTCGGCTCGACGCGTGAGATGAGCTCCTTGCTCAGCTTTTTGTCCATTTAAGACAGTTACAAAAGCTCAGACCAAATTTTTCCGGTTAATAACTGAAGATCTGAAGGCTGGTAAAGGCAGTTGTCACCCGACGTTGGCTGGCAGGCCAGGTTCGCTCTTCTCGACGACGGTTCGTGTTGGAAGGGGAAGCGAGGGCAAAGCTGAGGGGTTGATCTGCTTGTTCCCAGGTGACAGCCGATCACCAGCACACGCGCTCCCTATCCCAGCAGTTTCCTATCATCCAAAGGAGGCCACAGGCAGCTGCGTGGCCTGGTCCTGGGCAGGACTGGGTGGGAAAGAACACGGTGCTGAAAGAGAGGGCACGAAGGCGCGCGTGAGCATCAGCTCGTCCTTTCATGCGTGTGAAATACGCAGGCATCCAGGATCCTCGCGAACCGAGCCGTGGGCTTAAATGCCTTTGAAGAAAGGATTGAAGCAGACGGGGATAAATCGCCAAACCTTTTGACAGAAGTTACCAGCGGCTTCTAAGAAAAGAGTCCACAGTTTTGTCCTGATTAAAAGCAAAACATTCATTTCAGAATGTTAGAATTCAGCACTGCACCGAGAAGTTATTTGGGAGAACCAGAGCTGCGTGCGGCAGTGAATGGGAAGTGTGAAACCCGGAGCGATGGCTGTGCTCGGGACGTTATCAGAGCTTCAAAGCAGCAGCTGCGGAGAGCCAAACCTCGGAATGGCTGCCACGGGAAGCGGGGCCTCATCAAGCGAAATGCGAGAGCAAGAGACCAGTAACAAACCGTGGCACGTTGGGGGCATGGCATTGCGATAAAATTCGTACTGAGCAGGAGAAAAAGAACTTCCAAAAAGCGGGGGGAAAGCATTTTGTAAGAGCATTCACTTCTTCACATGTTACAAAAAGTGAGTGTGGCTCACAGAATTAATATTCCAGAGCTGTGCTTGGAAAAAATTGTGAGATTGACCAGGCTGGTTTTATTTCTCTATTTTTTATATATACATACACACGCATCTGTACATTTTTTTTATTTTTATATCTATATAATGCAGTCGCTGCCCTGGCAATCATCTAAACTAGTGACAAGACACACCTGAACACGGAAGCGGGGACGTTCCGAAGCGCAGCTTGCTGTGTCGGTTCCATCGGGTCCCGTCAGCTGAGCCCGCACCCGACAGAGCAGTGGAATTAGCGCCCACCAAGAGGATGCCTGAAACTTGTTAAAACCGCGTTCAGCATTATTGCATTCTATCAGCTATGCAGTTCCATCACAAATCAGAACGTTTTGCAAAGAACAGGCAGCCTTTCCCGGATTTCGTTGTTACGCTTACTGTTATTATGTCAGCATCACGAGCACGTGCCCCTGTTTGAGCTGACAAATGCTCCACTAACCCTCAAATCCTGACTGCGGCAGTGATCAGCAGCAG